CCCCCTAGCCCTCAGGAAGCGCAGGGCACACACTCACCCGTCAGCATCCTGGTAGTTGACATTCAGTCTCTTTGTGGAGCCGAGAAGCTCTGGGGGTCAGAGAAGGAGGCATAAGGCACCCTCGAATGATCTGCCCTTAGCCACACCCTGGCCCAGTGCTCCCTCTCCATCCACCTCCCAAATCCAGCTGACCTTTCGGAGTGCAGGAGAGCACCTGCCCCATGGCCTTCTAATGTCCTGTCCCTATTGCTCCTCACCCTGGCCCATTGGCCCATCAGCTCAAGGGCACCGAGTGCAGGGAGCTGCAGCAGCAATGGCCTAGCTTCCCTGGGTCCCCAGCCCAGCTCATTTATAGAGCCAAGGAGGTGGGGAGGGGGGACTGGCATGCCATGCCCTCAACAGACAAACCCACGAGCGCATGGTTAGCATTCCTGCCTGAACGGGCCAGGGAACGAGTCTCATTGTCCTGCTGGCCAAGGGGGCTGGGAAAGGAAGGAGAGGGGCACTAGAGGCTCAAGAGTGGAAGGGCAGATGCCAGGGCCACAGTGCCCAGCCCTACAACATCCCTGAATGGAGCACAGTAGAGAAGGTGGTGCCAGACAGACCTACACTATGCCCTGGCTCTGCCACGAACTAGCTGTGTGATCTTGGACGAGTCACTTAATCTCTTGGGCTCAGTGTCGTCATCTCTAAAAATGGGCTGATCACAAAACCTGCTCACAAGGGTTGAATACCCCTGTCAGCATGCAGAAAGTGGGAGCTATCACCACTTAGCACCCCTTACACGTTAGCCACTATCACCAAGAGGCTGTATTCCAGCAAAAGCTGGTACAGTCCCCGTACTGGCCCATCTCTGCACCCACAGGCCCCAGGCAGGAGACTCTCTGCTGGGTGGTGGCAAGAGAAGCTATAGGCATGGGATGATAGTTCATCCCCCTCAGAGACAGGGACAGGATTCATGCAGGTGTGTTCCATGCATGAGTCAGGGCATCAGAGGGGGTGAGGGAATGCCTGTCACAGGCGGCCCCTGCCTCCTGCTGGAACCCACCCCTGCAGGGAAGGAGGAGGCCTGGCTCAACCCAGGCAGGCGGGGTGCCAAGCATGCTGGTCCAGGCCTGCCCCCAGGCCCTGGTGGGCCCCTGAATACCCCAGCAAGACAGGGCCTCATTCCAACAGGGAAGGACCAACCCTGAAATGACAAGCAGAGCATGGGATGGGGAGGGAGGGGACAGTTACATTTAGGGCTGAGCTGAATTCCGCTTCTGCTGAAAAAGTAAATACAGAACCAAGGAGTGCCTAAGAAGTGAGAAGTGGGGGCCACTGAGAAGAAACGCAGGCCACCCAGTCTTCCTCTAGCCCCCTTGGAAAGTCCTTGTTACACAGAACCATTCAGGGCAGTGGAAAGAACGGGGGCCCTGGGACCAGGAAGTGCCTGGTTCAAATTCTTCCTGGCTGTGTTACCTCTCTGAGCCTCAGAAAAGATGATGAGGTCAGCATGGAAGAGATACAGAAAGTCCCTCCACCTGCTGCCAGCCTGGACTGTCAGGGATGGGGCAGCTCGGTGGTGAGGTGCAGCCTCTGGGGAGTGCCAAGACAATGTGACAGGAGAGACAGGAACAGGGGCAGGGCCAGGCTGGGTGGCTCTGTTCTCTGCAGAACAATGGCCGGAAAGGCGGTGGGGGAGAGGCTCACAGTGACTGGACTGGGGACCTTGGCAGGAGGGCGGAGGGTCCTGGTTTTGGCCTGGCTCCAGGCACTTCCCCTCCAGCACAACCTTCTTTCCCGGCCTGGCTCTGAGGGGTGGAAGGGTCACTCCTGATTTAGGCTTGGGCAGAGGATGTGAGCTCAGCGGGCCACCCCCAGCCCACTCCATTTCCGCTGGCCAGAGGAGACAGTTCAGAAAAGGGAGTAGGGGGGAAGGAGGGAGCATGCACTTTCAGAACAATCCTAGGTAATTCTGATAAGCAGCCAAGTGTGGGAGCACGGCTTGTCTGTGATCTGCCACACAATGGCCGGGTGACCTTGGGCTCTTTGAATGTCAGTTTCCTTATCTGTCAAGTGGATGTAGAGGTAGGGAATTAGACGGATCACAACAGTTCATGAACTGCAGGGTCTGCAAATGTCACCCTGTGATTTCCTTTTGGTTACCAGCTTTCCCAGCTTCTCAGAGGACTGGGAAGGAAGGTACAGTGCCAGGGCCTCAGGAGGAGTCCCAGGACCCTGTCACTCTGTGCCTGTGACCATACTCTGTGCAAGTCCCTTTGGGGGCTCGGGGAAGGGATTGCTTCCCCCACAGACATTTTCCTCTGAGCACAGGGAACCCTCCTGGAGCCTAGGAACCCAGCTGCGAGGTTCCCACCACCAGCCACCAGACCCCACCCACTTGTCCTCCTTAGGACCTCATTTTGAGGCCCCAGGGCTATGAGGCCAACAGCAGCTTAACCAAAGCCCCACTGGGCAGGTTGCCAAAAACAACACAGAGGTAAGGAGAGAAGGTGAGTGGCTCCTACTCTTGGGCCTCCAGGGACCTTTAGCACCTTCCTCTCACTGTGCTCACCCTATACCCACTTCACCAGAGCACAGGGACCCCCCCCACAGCTCCACCTCCCTATACCCTGGGTCTCCTGCCCTGGTATACAAGTGGGAGCCTCTGGTTCCTGGGCCCTTAAAATCCTTCCTTCTGGCACCCACACTAGCAGGTGTGGGTGGGGATAATTAGATTTTTTCATTAGCCAAGGTGTGTCTTGGGGCTATAGTCTCAGTACTTGGGGGACCCTCTCTCCTCCAGCCCCAGTGTGGTGGCAAGAGCTACCTCCTGCCCCTGCTGGTATAGAAACTCAAAGGGACAAGGCCAGTGTCCTCCTGGGATGGCCCAGAGAGCTCACCCTGAAGCCCAGAGGTCTAATCTCCTTGGGGTCTCACAGCAGAGGTTCCCAAGAGATGGGGCTCAGGTATGGCCACCTGGGCATGAAGCCCCCCACAACCCTGTCAAGAGTAGAGACCCCAGGCTAAGGAGAAGCCTCCGGAAAAATAGCTTGGGCCACCCCCACCAGGGAAGACAGGCAGGTAAGTCAGGGGAAAGGGGCTTTAGCAAGTGGTTGGGTAGTGTTGGACTTTGTTTTAGGCAGTAGAACTCTCTCTTTAAAGCTATTTTACAGACATCCCCATTAAACTAAGACATAAATGCTGAGATGACCTGGCTGAAGTGGTGGTGGAGGGGTGGGGGATGGAACTCTATTTGTTGTCTTTCCCAATCCATTGTCAGAAACCCCATGGCTCCAGAGAACAATCTGAAAAACCACCTGCTGGAAGAAAACCCCACAAGGGCAGGAATTCCGGTTGTTTCATTCACTGCTGAGACCTGATGCTTTAGAACAGAGCCGGGCTGGTGCACGATAGGCACTCAAAAAAATGTGAATGAATGCACTTCAACCCTTTTACTTTACAGATGAGGAAACTGAGCCCCAGAGAGGTGAAGTGATTTGCCTAAGACACAACAGCAAGGGGGACCCAACTTCCTCTCTGGCTCTCACACACAGAGGCACTCCTTGTATAGAACAAGATAGTTCTCCCACCCCACATCCCAAGGTCACAGTGACCCCCAGGCCCTCTCTGCACTCAGGGGAGGGTCTCAGGAGATCTCAGCTGGACAGTCACCCCATCAAGTACTCACTTGTCTTTGCAGCCTTGACTTTAGCCACCAGCTTCTGCACACCAGTCACATCTCCGTTCTTGACGGCAAGGATCAGGTCCTGTTCACGACCCATCCTGATCCCTGGGCTGGGCTCTGGGCTCAGACGTCCAGGAGAAAGGCAGGAAAACTGGTCTAAGCCAAGGCGTCAGGGTGCCATGCCTTGGCCCTTCAGAGGGCCAGGCGTCCTGGCAGGGTGTGTCTGGTGTCTCAGGCAGTAGGTTCTTGTCAGGCACTGACAGGTACTCCAACAAGGTGCTTCGTGAGCTATCGCCACAAGCAGGAAAGCCAATCTCTGAGGGGGTGGAGGCTGCTCGGAAATCTGGACAGATATCAGCTTGCAGCTTCCGACAGCCCCAGGATGGGCTGGGACTGGGCACGCCGATCTTCCCAGCGTGGCTCAGGAGCACCAATACCCACCCAGAAAGCAGCCAGCATTCCCTCGGGCCTTGTGCAGCAGCAGTGGACAGGTCTCAGGGGTCTGGAAAAGATGCAGTGCCTCCGCTGAGGGCTGGGCCAGAGCCCGCAAGGGTCCCAGGAGCAGGGCTCTGAGGAACAGCAGGGCAGGGCCTCCAGGGAGCCCCCAAAACACCCTGGCTGCCCTTATGAGCCAAGGGAGGGGCTAAGCCATTCAGAGCTGGAAGGGAGCTGCCTGCATGAGAGGAATATTTGGAGGGGGGAGAGGTGGCATTCTGGGAGGGGGAGGCTGAGTCACTGGGGCCCCAGGGCACCTGGCAGCATCTCAACCTGGGGCAGGCTGGGCAGCAGCCTGTTCTCCACAGCCTAAGGGGCTGACACCCACGGACAACTGGCGTTCCAGGGGGTGGGGCCTGGGAGGGTCAGGCACAGGCAGACAGGAGGGGTCATTCCCTGTCGAAGGTACCTGCCCCAGACTCCTCCCTCCCCACGCTTTGCTATAATAGCTGCATGCTCTAGCTGCAGGGCTCTTCATGAATTCAGAGTGGAGTGCGGAGTTTATGGCCCCCCATTTCTGGCGGGGGTCTGCCTGCCCGACAGGGAGGCTTTACAGCACCTGTTGCTGACCTATCCTCACCCCTTATGCGGGATGGAAAAGCAGCTGGGCAGAGAACAGAGACAAGAGCTGGGGCACTGCTGGCAAATGGGGCTGCCTGGCCCCCCCCAAGCCTGAACCTGAGGCCCAGAGCCCCCACTTCCATGCAGAAAAACCTGCGTCAGTTCCTCACTGGCCACGAATTTGTTGCCCGAGTCCTGTGGCATGACACCCGGGCAGGCCTGGGGCTCTGGCTGGGAACCCCTCACTCCCCAAACCGTCCCAAGCCCAACCCAGATGGCACTCCCTCTCGCGGCCCGCGGCCGACGGTGGGGGAGGGCGCCCCTGGCAGTGCCTGGGGTCGGGCTGGCTCCCCCGCCCCCCGGAATGCCCGCCCAGCGCCGCGCAAACCCCCAACCCCAACCCGGCCCGGGCCGACCTGGGGAACAAAGCGGC